AAATTGATATAAATGTCAAAGCAATGTCGCGCGCGCGCGCACACGTGTGACGCACGTGTTGCGCTAGATCGCACTGTCACTCATGCAATCTTGAACCCACGTGATTCCACGATATCGGCGATCTTGGTTATGTCTCCCAAGATCTCGATGAGCGTAACATTTGACCGTAATCATTTATGCAAAGTTCCCACGTGTTTAAAGTGCATAAAGAAAAAAGAAATAATTACATGCTCGAGATTCAATCGATCTGTTTTCGAATCTGTTATTATTTCGAAGTACTTTGCGGCGATTCGAGTGACGCTCAGCTGTTTCGTTCCATTTAAACCGCGTTGCAGGTTGCGCAGATCGATGTGCCTAGTATGTTTTTCACGAAGATCTGAGATATTGCTTCAAGATGTTAGCCGTCATTCGGAATTCACGCCGTCTGTCAACGGCAAATCGAATTTTGGAGCGATCCACTGGACTTTGGCCTAACCTGTCACCGTTCGTACGTTGCAAATCAGGTAAGTTCGCGCCGAGTTTTATAGTCGATTGTTTTGTTTTTGTTTTTTTTTTTAATATATCAAGTATATTTCTATCTGCTTCTGTTTTTTTCAGAAAATGTAGTCGTCACCATCGCCGACGTATCGAAAGAAGTGAAACCAGCAAGCAATCCGGAATACGTTCCAAGAAAATACTGTTGGTATCATAGACTTTGTTGTTTATAAGAATACAATAAGTCATTAAATGTCGTATGTAACGTATGTAATTATTTCTTTTTTTTTTTTAAACAGTGTTGAACACGTACTCTCAGGAAGCACTGAGACATCTAAAATGGATGCTTCAGAAAGATGTTTTACGCCAAGACATGTTCCTGATGGGTGGACCTGGTATGCGGAGACGGGAGCTTGCGCTCGCCTTTCTGGAATTGACGGGACGGGAATTGGAATTCATTGCGCTTAACCGTGACACTACAGAGGCAGACTTAAAGCAAAGGAGAGAAATCAAGAGTGGCACTGCTTATTATCATGATCAGAGCGCAGTGAGAGCTGCAACCAATGGGCGAGTTCTCATAATTGAAGGTGTGGAAAAGGCAGAGCGGAACGTATTACCAGTGTTAAATAATTTATTAGAAAATCGTGAAATGCATTTGGAGGATGGTAGATTCCTTATTCCAGCGTCTCGCTATGACAAATTACTGAAGGTGAATGACTATTTGAAATTTATGTAGAATTTTGTTATTTTTCTGTGGAACTATCTGCAAATCTTGTTCCTAATTATTTGCAAATAACATGCGGAAAATTTATTTGCAGGTACACACACGAGAGGAGTTGGACGCGTGGCGTCTTGTGCGAGTCAGCGAAGATTTTATAGTGGTAGCACTGGGCCTACCATCACCACGATATCCTGGTCATCCGCTAGATCCTCCACTCAGATCTAGGTTTCAAGCCCGTCACATACCACCACCAACGTTCGAGGTAAGTACATTCTCGTGCGCATAACTTTTAAAAGCTTAATGAAATTGGCCAAAAAGCAATTAGCTGAATAGATTCCGTGTGTCATTCTACAAGAGGTATTGAAATGTTGAACGTTACACGAAGCGTACTAGTATTATGTTTCAGAGATATATTGCAGGAGTCAAAGTAACATTTAGAAAAGTCATTAAACAAGTTTCTGATTGTACAGCGATGCAGTCTCATCAAAACTTGGTCGCAGAAATTTGCGATCGTATACGTATCGTACTGATTGCCTAGCTCATTATTAAAATTGCCTCCCCGATGATTAAGGGACGAGCCTGATTTATGTCTCCATTACGCTCTCCGTTATCTGAACTATCAGATGTAGCTATTACGATAAAAATACGAGGAGCAACAATTTAATAATTTAGCGACGACTTTAAGGGAATGCCATATGTAAAACTATCCGCTCTTGCTCCTTGAAGGAGACGGTCGCGCGGTATATAACTCGCGAAACTTTCGTCTGATTTATGGGGCCGGGAGTGGCGTACCATTAGGCATGGGAGTGCGGAGGTCGCACGAACCCCTCCTGTCCCATCCCTTCCTTCCGGTGCTCCTCTCGCTCGCATATAAACGCGAGCTCGTGGCTGCGCCATGGCCACAGGCATCGCGCGGCTCGGATCGCGTGTCCAAACAGTCGAAACCTTACTTGTCCTTCCGTGTACGCCCGCGAGTCGATACGTCGGGGATTCGAACGAGCTTACGTATTAGAAGGAAACGCGAAGCCGTCGGTTCTCCAGGTTTCGGCACTGTTCGACAGCGCGGTAACGTTAGTCGCGACGTCACGAACATGACACGTCACATTAGTGATTAAATTGCTCTCTTCTTTCCTCTCCGAGAAATTTTTCGACGGTGCCGTGACAATGTCAACCGCATACTCATTTATTTATTACTGAAAAATATTGAAGAAGAACTGCTGAGCGTTGACTTATCTCATTGTTATTTTATATTTTTATTGGAATATTGTACAATTGGAACATTGTTACAATTATATTAAATTCTAATCTAATATCATAATTATATTTATCGCACAGTATTGGGATGTGATACTATTAAATGATCTGAAATAAGATTGACCGAGCATAAGAAAACTAATAAAGTTTCTTTTTATCAAATCTGAAAAAAATTATTCACCAGTCGGAGTAATTATCGATATTTTTCCTGACGTCGTATCGCGTTATGCCGGCTATATGGGCATCGTCGGAGAGGCCTTTGTTTGTCCGAACCGTCTGGGTAGACGGTATGCGTCACGCTGTTTTGTCACCCGACGATCCCGTCGTTAATCCGCGGCTACGTCGGCATCCACGAGCGTCCGCGGAGAAGAGTTTTCCCGCGAAACATCATCAGACCGACGTCGGACTAGACCGCTTGAACAGTTGTTTCATGAATCTACACGTGGTAGTGGAGAAGAATTTCCCGGACAAGAAGATCCCGCCAAGGATCGTGCGCAGACAATCGGCCCCACCTTGCACGAGGACGTGCGGTGAGAAAGCGGGAGGTCTCCTGGAAATTTATATGAACGACATCGACAAGTTGGACGAGAGACACGAGAACTGTCAAACGTTAGAGAATGAAGAGACGACATTTCCGACGAGTGAGAGCTCCGATTACGACAGCGGCGTTGGACAATCGTTGCGCTTGCAGCGAGACGCGTTCTCCACTATGACGGAATGCAAACAGATCGATAGATCATCGGACGCACATTGGAATCCGTTGTCCGAGAGGGTGTTACAGTGGCTGGATCTCTCCGGAAGGTCGCAGGACTACGAGCTTGAGGTGGAATCGGGGGAAAACCCAAAGGTCCAAGAGGGTCGACGATGGAGTGTCGCCAGAAGCAGGAGGAGGAGGCATCTCTCACAGACACGCGAGGATTCGGGATTTATGGAAAGGGAGCGCATAGTCGTTCAGAACTACAAGCTGCAGAAAAATTGCAAGTTGGAGTGCGTTACGAAGGCGACCGAGATGAAGTTTGCGCGAAAGCGATCATCCAAGATGAAAGATAAAATGAAGGAGGATGATGCTCGGAAAGAGGAGAGGATCGAGGAGCGAGCTCCGCGTGCGGAGGAAAACGATTTGAGGAACGAAGATGAATCGCGGGACGATCGGTCGGCCGTGTGGTCTCCGCCAGGTCGCCTGCAGCTGCACATTGTCATGCCGAGTTTCAATTCCGTCGAGAAATGCGCGTCCTCGCTGGAATCCCTGGCCTGCGATTGAATGATAGACCGCCGGTCAAACGCGCATTCCCATTTTCGTGTGTCATCCCATTTTCGTGTTTCCGCTGCACCTGACATTCCTTTCGCCGTTATTTCTCTAATGTCGCGCTGGGAATTTTTATTTGTCGGCGCGAAAAACAAAAAGAACGAAGAGAAACGCCTGCGTAATGAATAACTTATTTACTCATTTTCCAATATGTGTGAGAGTGCTTAATTGTTATTACTAGAGATTTCGCGTATTTACGATGTTTGTTAAGATAAAAGCCATCGGCGTAATGCATGTTTGTCATGTCATCGAATGTTGCAAAAGAGAAAGGTATTTATTGAATTAATTATACTAAAATTATACATCTTTATAAATTTGTTTGAATACTTATTATTTGTGCAATTTTTAAATGTATTTAGAAACGAAGACTTTCCAAGAAACTTTGACAGTCTTGAATTATTTTATTCGATGTAAATTTACTGTGAAAAAATTATTAGCTAATTTCGCAGCTAGATTTTTCTTTGTTTAAATTCAAATTCCGCATAAAATTTATACAGAACATTATTTTTTTTCGATTTAATTGTACCTTGTGATGTGTATCTCGACGTTCTGCGAGATAGCATTTTCGTTGAGAGTTAATCCGGAGCCGTGTCGCAAACTCGTTATTGTATACCGAGAGAATTGGAGCCGACGGAGACATCGCCTTGTTTTACGTCGGCCGGAAACTGAATAGAACTCAGTTAATAATAACTCATGGAAAAGATCACTTAAAACTTCAAAATAATTACACGGCATGGAGTATTTAAACCATTTCTCGTGAAACGAATATTATCCGTCACGAAGCATAGTGTACATATTGCTTGTCCGTAGGAATTGCTGTCACGCGCAGAAACGAGTCCAGAGACACATATGTCACAGAATTTATGGATAATTTACAGATATATTTATATAGACCAAGAACTATCTAGAGAGAGAAAGTTATAATACTGCAATCTTTTCATGATTTATATATGATTATATATGTCTTTCAATATCTCACATTTCCTTAAAAGTAATAAAAAAATGGAGTATTTACCGTCACAGAGATAAAATTATAACACATTTCAGGTATTTTTATTTCCAATCATAAGAAAGACATAGCGTTATCTCACATTTTCTATTTTCATTTGTTTACTTTATTTACGATACTTTTACACATATTTATATATATTTTTTAATTTTATATAATTAATATAATGTTGTATGTTATATGTATATTATGTTATGTATTATTCGGGTTAGATCGGAATTATTCGCGTTTTATATGGATTATGTGTAACATTGCTCGTGACTTCGTTGACTTATGTGCCACCTCTGCGAAACTGCTGGCAGTCGTTATAATGGAGAATGAAAATAATAGAGCGACATGTTCAGGAATCGCGCAAGACAGCTCTATAATATTCTCGGCATCTATTTTCAGGGTAATAAAACTTGGTATAGAAATAAGGGGGATGCGCAGACATCTATTTTCTACATACACGGCATCATCGTTTAATAATCAATCATCGCGAAAGTCGACGTATTAAAATAGAAGTTTGACTTTACAGCTGATGGATGTCCTTCGAAAAAATGTTGCCATAATTTAAGTTTGCCGTGATGTATTCGCGGTTATCAGTGGTAGATACGCGAAAACTTGAACTTACTTGGCGATATTTATGATAACTAGATTTGATAGGATTTCTTAAATAAAATACGAAAATTATATTAGGTTTCAATTATTTACCTGAATTTCTTGCACAGTTCATGTTCTCTCCTTTTCTCTCCTTGGAAAGAAAAGAAAGGAGGATAAATTGTGCAAGAAATTTAGTTGAAAAGAGACAAGCTTATTATTAGGCTTATTATTATTTCTACAAAGTCTAAGGCTACAAAATATCGCAGTTGAAACAATGAGAATCTTTTGTCCAACATGAGAGATCTTGATCTTTGGGTGCATTGAACTGCGGAAATCACTGGAAATAATGAATCGCGTGTTGGCGAAATAGCCAGCTAATACTCTGATAACCCGGTGACACGTCTCTGAAGGAAGATCGCGAACTTTTCCGAACCCGGGAACTTTATCAACCCGATGTATTATCATAATCACGATGATATCCGCGAATCGATCTTATTATTTATCGTCAATCTGCTTCGGAATCGGTGGAGAAAGTAGGATACGACGACGAAGCCCGACGTGTGTAACAACCGAACGTGGTGTCGGGAGAGTTACGTTATGGAACGTTTTGAGAAGGGGCGAAATTGATTCTCCATTTCTTCTATTTTCGCGGCGGGTCCCGGGGACGAGTCACGAAAACCACATTTCCGCCAACGCCGCAATTACGGCCGATCGAGGGCTCGAGATTATAACCCGGGCCGATTGAAAGTTTTCGATGGAAATTCCGAGGTTGGGCGGATATCTCGCGCGCGCGGTTTCCGTGCCGAGTGATAGTTATTCACTCGGTGCACGGGGGCGCAACGTTGGAAAGCTCTCGGTGTTAATCACTCACTCGGAAGGAGGACCGAATCGCGGTATATAGCATTCCTCACGTGCGCGATTTCGCCAGTTCCTCCTCCTCTCTCCTCCTCTCTCCTCCTCTACCTCTCCCATTCTCTCTTTCTCTCTATTTCGAGTGCCAGGTATGCCGACGAAGGCGGAGAAGTAATGGGAAGATAACTCTGCTCCGAATTCGAGTAGTTCAACGCACCGTAGATAGACCGTTAAATAACGTTAAATATATTGCGTTACATCCTGTAACAGCCTTGTAAACTTCCGCGTTGGAAACTTTCGTCAGCCGAGTGAGACTGCTGCAATGCTCGAGCGCGGAATCAAGCTTGTTATCAAGCTGTTATTAGTTTAAGTAGTAAGAACGTAATAATATTTAAGCACAAGTTTTTTACGCTTGCTTAATAATCGAAAATTCGATCGCTACTTTTGGTTGGTCGTTAATTATGCGAGCATCATTATATTCTTTTAAAATTATTAACATCTTATAATTAGAATATACAATTGTACGGGATGCAATTTATTCAAATTGAGGCTTTTTTTTTTGAGAAATGTCAAAGACCATAAGATTTAATTTTTAAGGAACAATTCGAGGTCTTGAGAAACTTAGCGCCGAACGTTGACGCTGGGAAATTGTCGCAATTGTTGTCGTGTGCTCATGCATTAGTTACTCAAGAAGCTGTCACCATAGGTCTGCCAGATTTTCCTTTGGACAATTTATCATCGGCCGCTTTAATTATGGTAAATTAGGATGGATCATTATAACGGACACTTCGTTGTCATTTTTACATTAATCTCGCGTGTTTGCACAGGACAAAAGCCCCGATCTGTCGGTGTACGACATTTTCTATAGGTTTTATCCGTACAAACTATTCCTGGGTAAAGAGGGTCAGAATGCCGTCGAGGATATCCTTGGGACATTTAGCGTATTGAACGATTCCAAAATGGAACGTACCATTACTAGTAAAGTAGCCGTTACAAAAATAGCTAATGATTTTTTGGAGATTAATATAGAACGCGATACCGCAGAAACAAGTTTCCATGTAAGTTATGAATAATTATTCGTTCGCATCATTTCTACATTATTAAACATTGCTGTTAAGTGCCTCAATCTACTTTGCAAATAGGTTCCCTGCGGCACGAGCCAATTATCTGATAGCGCAAATAATCATTATATAGAGACCAATCATCAGAATAATTTGTTGGCGAGTATGCTGGAATCTCATTTAGTGTCCGATTTCTGCTTGATCGGACCGAAAGGCTGCGGCAAATCCACCACCGTTCGACGGCTCGCCGATTTATTAGGGTATCAAGTGGAGCCAATAGTGCTTTATCAGGCAAGTCTCGGACACTTTTCACGAAGCTGACGTAACGTTAGTTTCCGATTTGCGTTTGCGGGGCAGACGAGCTTAGCTTCGAGTCTGAAAGAAAAATTACTCGCGATGGCAGTTCGTTCGAGGAAAAATGAAACGGTTGAAATATTTTCTTAGGATATGACTTCCAGGGATCTGATACAGCAACGGACCACGTCGCTTAACGGCGACACGATCTGGCGAGACTCGCCGCTGGTCGATGCGGCTCTGCACGGCAAACTGGCCGTGCTGGATGGCATCAACAGGATTCATTCCAGCACTTTAGCTATATTGCATAGGTAATCTCGCGTTCGTATCTCGCGTTCGCGACATTTGACGCGCGGGCTTCAATCAACGTTGACGTGTAACGTGACGCGCCGCGTTTGTCCCGTAGATTAGTCCACGATCGGGAGCTGCAGCTGCATGACGGTAAACGACTCATACGAGCCGATCGTTACGACGAGATAAAAAAAGAGTACAACAGATCCGACGAGGAGATGCGCGACCGGGGTGTCCTGCGAATCCATCCTGCTTTCAGATTGATAGCTTTAGCCGAGCCGCCGATCGTCAACAGCTCGTCCGGCCAGTGGCTGAATTCCGAGCTGCTCAGCCTGTTTCTCTTTCACGAGATGAGACCGCTCGATAAACGCGAGGAGATTCATATTATTCGGTCGAAGGTGATGAAGCTTGGGACACGTCGACGCGTCTTCAATCGCGGGTGGATTCTCATCGAATACTCTGTTGCAGTTCGGGGAACCCAGCCGAGCGTTATTGAGTATCATAGAATTAGCACACGTCCTACGTTCATCCAACGATCCGACCCTGCTGTCTCTCGCCGGGTCGCTCAGTACTCGGCAACTCCTGCGAATCGCCGAGCGAATGCACAGATTTCGCTGCGACGATGCTCACGACGCGGTGCAACGCGCGTGTTTGGCGCGTTTCCTACCGACGCTCGCGAAGCAGGCCCTCGAGGACTGCTGCCATCGTCTGAGCATTGTCCCACCGAAATCCGCGGCAGACTCGGCGATTGAGTGCTCGGTTACGGGAGACACGGTGAGGATCGGTGACACCGTCGTAGATCGATATCGCACCGCGGCGCTCAGCAAAGTACCGGATATCCTGTTCTACGACGTGCCGGAGCACGTCGCGCTCCTGGAACGTCTGCTGCAGGACTTCAGTCTCGGGCAGAATCTTCTGCTGGTCGGCAATCAGGGCGTCGGCAAGAACAAAGTCGTGGATCGACTGCTGCAGCTGCTGAACAGGCCGCGCGAGTACATTCAGCTGCACCGCGACACGACCGTGCAGACTCTGACCTTGCAACCGATGGTCAGGGACGGCAAAGTCGTTTACGAGGACTCACCGCTCGTGCAGGCTGTTAAACTGGGCCACGTCCTCGTCGTCGACGAGGCGGACAAAGCGCCCACGCATGTGACATGTATATTGAAAGTACGTACTCGACGATAGTAGAGCTATTACAGCGCGCGAACACCTTGTCGGTCGTGAATCGCGAGACGATCCTATCATTTTCAGACCCTCGTGGAATCGGGCGAAATGATTCTGTCGGATGGTAGGCGAATCGTTCCCGGCGCCAGCGGCAACGCCCGCAACGCGAACAGCATACCTATGCACCTGGACTTCAGGATGATCGTGTTAGCGAACAGACCGGGCTTTCCATTTTTGGGCAATGACTTCTTCGGTGCTTTGGGTGACCTGTTTAGCACGCACTCCATCGACAATCCAAGTATACGAAGCGAGATTCAGCTTCTGAAGCAATACGGTCCGCATATAGATGAGCGGACGATACATAAATTAGTGAAAGCCTTCGGCGAGCTGAGAAGCATGGCCGATCAAGGTCTAGTTTCGTATCCTTACTCAACTCGAGAAGTGGTTAATATAGTTAAACATTTAGAGGTGAGCTCTTTTTTACGCGAGAATTTTTTTAGACTGATGTCGGTGACGGATCTAATTGATTGACACCTTTTTTTGTAATAATGTTGTAGAAATTTCCAAATGAACCGTTGGGCACCGTAGTGCGCAATGTCTTCGACTTTGATCGATATAGCCAAGAAATATTCGACACTTTGGTAACTGTGCTTCATAAGCACGGAATTCCCGTTGGAGCGAGTCCAAGTAACGTTGCTTTAGCTAAGGAGTAAGATTCCATTTCCACGTACTTTTAAGTAGGCGAAATTAATTAATTCGAACAATTTTGTAATGTATTTTGTCAATTTTATACACGATGAATTTATTGTTAATTATATACATAATAAATGAAAGTGCGAAAAAATAAAGGTAAAACCGGAAATGTTAACTTTCACACAGACGCGCACAATGCTCTTTCCCCTTTTCCATTCCAGAATACCTTTGCCCGAGATGAAGATCTGCGGTAGTTGGAATGTACTAAGCGCGTTCCAAAATATACCCGTTCAGGAAAGGTATGTTAAGTTGAAACCGCCAACGTTTCCGGTACAAAATGATCGCACTCTAGATCGAGTTGAGGCCAGATCCGCCTGGTTCACGGAACTGCAGACTTACTGGACAATACCCATTAGCGAAAACAGTACGGTGACCGCTTTAGCGGTCGCGAAAGGAAATAAAGGGGACGGTACGGACGACAGAATACATGTTCTCACGTCGAATCCTTTGAGTATATTTAGCATGACGCCGGAATCCGAGCAGATTCGCGAGACGTCGTTACAAGGCTTGATTAGTCCAGTTAGGGGCAATATGCCGCTTTATAACATTGCGGTTGACAATCTTGGAGACGTTATCATTCACGAAGAGACTGTAAGTAAATATATCAATGATAAGCAAGTGTTTCTCCTTTATACGTAACGTTTATCGGATTCGATCGTTTTTAGAGCAATTCCGTGCTTGTGGTGAACGTAAACGAGGGTTCCGCTCGAGAATTGCAAATCTCGTCCTTTTTGGATGTCGCCAGCGAGAAAATATCAAACGCCTTTAGAAGTAGAAATCCTCAATGGAAAATGAATACGGATTTACTCTTGTCGCACAATCTGATTGTTTTATACGCCCAGGATCATGACAAAATCGAAGTTATTAATTTGCAAAACATGTGTGCTTACTCGATGACTTTACCAAATTACATTGAATCAGTTTTACTCGCGTCCGACAAGAAATGGCTAATTCAGGACGTGTCAAAGGACAAATACATTCTTACAAAATCCTCGGATTCCAATCCGTGCCCCAACGTGTTACGCGAGTTGGACGAGTCTAATAGCGCCGATTTAAAGACCGGCAGTGTCTTGAATTGCGGCAAGAGTAGTCTGCACAAAACAGAGCTGAGCAAAGCTCTTCAGCAGAAAATAGACTGTCCGAACAGATTATTAGCGACTGATAATACTTACGCCGGCATAGCGACGGGTTTCCCCGATTTAGAAAGCTCTAATGAGCTGCACTTTTGGCCGAGGAAAGGAAGAATGCGCAGTTTTATAAAGCCTATCATTACGCAGGATGGGCAAGTGGTTAGGACGATCTCGTCCAATCAAGTACCAGACGAGGTTTTCCCGAAGGACAAAAAACCCACGGGAATATGTGGTTATTTAGAGATAGTTGATACGGTAAACCACAAGCTGCGATATATACCTATTCCGGAGTAAGTAAATTCGTAATAAATAAGGATTGCACTATAAAAAATGAAGGAGCTATAAAATTTTATTTATATTTTTAATATTTTTGAAAAATAATATCGGATTTGTATGGAAAGAATAGTTTTGCTGAAATATTTAAAAATTTAGCCAAATACAAATCTAAAAATATTTTTGTCAGACCATCTAAATAATTATTTTACACGTTCAAATTGGTTGGTAAAATATTAAAAGTTTTTGCGATATTATATATATTATCATGCTTAAGCGTCTTACATAATAATTTTGATCGTTTTAAAATTTATTTTTAGATTTATATCTGGTTAGATTTATATCTGGATCAATATCTGGTCAAATTTTTTAAATATTTTAGCAAAATCACTCTCTGTACGTTTGATATTCTTGTGTGTATTGTTTATTTTTGAACAATTGAAAAAAATCATTAAATTTCTTTTATGTAGACCGGTTAATGTCTCACCATTGACACAATGGCTGTATGCGAAAGACCTTCCGCTTTATGCGTCACTTACGTCGAATGAAGGTCTCGTCACAATAGATGCCGGTGGTTGTGTCCGTTTATGGGAAACATCAATCACGAATATAGAAAAGTCGTTAGGCGCGTGGCGTAAAATGATAGGCGCCGACGAGGAGAAATTGCAGATCACCAAAGAAAGATATTCAGGGCAGGATGTCAGCGGGCCGAAACACGGAAAGATCGATAAAAATAATGAACCACACGTAGGTGGCAATACTTGGGCCGGGGGAACCGGAGGTACGGAGATATTCAAACAAGATAATGAATGAGATAAAATCAAAGGGGAAATTACATGTGTTGTTGCATTAATAGTGTTATCCCCCAGTTATCAATCATCATAACTGCATAGAGAGATTGCACGAGACTGTATTTCAGGGAGAGATACGGCGGGTTTGGGCGGAAAGGGAGGACCGTATCGGCTGGACGCTGGACATACGGTGCATCAGCTCAGTGACGAGGAGAAGAATGCAGTGCCGGAACATATAAAGAAAGCCGCTCGCGAGATGGGCCTCCGCGCATTCAAGCAACGACTCAGGGACATAAAAATGAGCGAGTACGACCACAAGCTGTACAGTCAGTTCAGCGACGCGGTTCACAATCAGGTGCAGGCCTTGAGGGTCATATTAGGTGAGCGTCGTAAACCTCGAATCAATCCGGCTTTTATGGAAGCCAGTATTCCTTACCGCACGTGCGCGTCATGTATAGGTACGCTGCAGGCCAAGAGCAACGAGCGACAATGGTGCAAGCATCAGACGTCGGGTGAGCTGGATGATACGAAGTTAATCGAGGGATTAACGGGCGAGAAAACGATTTATCGACGCAGGGCGGAGAAGGAGCCGGAGATTGGCGCTCCGCAATTGAAACCAAAGCGATTGAAACTTGTCGCGGATGTATCTGGTAGCATGTACAGATTCAACGGCTACGATGGCCGGTTGGATCGCGAGTTGGAAGCTTGCGTCATGGTAATGGAGGCTTTCAGCGGCTACGAGGGTAAATTTCAATATGACATTGTCGGCCATTCCGGCGACGATTACCGTATTGTCTTCGTTGATCGCACGCAACCGCCGACGGACAATAAACGAAGGCTGGAGGTGATTAAGGCGAGTAGATTCATTCCTGCCGTGTTTCTTACGGTACGATAAGCCATGCCATTTAATTAGTAACGAGCACATTTGTCTTTACAGACGATGCACGCTCACTCGCAATTTTGCATGTCCGGCGATAATACATTGGAGGCGACGCAGCACGCAATTGCGAGTCTGGCGAAAGAGGATTCCGATGAATCCATCGTGGTTATATTGTCGGATGCGAATCTAGAACGCTATGGAATTTCTTCTGAACGATTCGCGAGATTATTAATGTCTAATGCGGACGTGAATTCCTATGCTATTTTTATTGGATCGTTGGGTGATCAAGCGACTAGGTAATTTTAAAATAATAAAACTTTTATTATCTTTTTCTTGTCTTTATCTCTTTTGTCGATATTTAATTAAAATATTTAAATTATTTTTAGATTGATGAAGAAAATGCCTTCTGGTCGCGCATTTGTATGTATGGATCTTAAGAATATACCACGAATTTTACAGCAGATATTCGCCGCTTCGGTTTTAAGTACAACGCGATCGACTTAACGCGAATAATAATTAGTCCTAATAATTTTACAAAAATAGACAAAAATAGCATCTTTTCGCTTATAACTATTAACAAAAGGGATTATATATCTTTTTAGAATACATATTTCATATCATAATCATGTTTATATAACGATTGTAAATTTTTGTAAATAAAGAACTTTCAATTTTGCACATAAAAATCTGAAAAATCTACGTAATACACAAGTGTCAGGTGTAGCATAAAACTGGTTGTCATTAAAAAGGAGTGTACACACGCAGTACTTATAATTCTCTCGTAATGACGCGTTACTCTTCCCGGTCTTTAAGCTCGGAAGCAAATAATAATTACCTTGATTCGACACAATATATCAAAGCAACGTATTATCGCGCGAGATCGTCGCTAAGAAGTCAACGGTGACCTTTCACTCAGGGTAAACGCCCGGATTTGTCCGCGCGCCTACGCGCAACTCGGTGGGATGGAACGTCAGCCGTGGCACGAGGGCGCGAGGGAAGCAGCGTGGACCAGCGCGCATCAGGACGATCGGGCCGGAGGGGGTTTTCATCCCTCAGAGACGTAGCCGAGTACGACCGAGGTCGCGCGGAGAGGATCGAAGCGGCCGCGCGCCCGCGCGATCCGCCGGATTGATGATGGTGTGGGGCGGCCGATTGTCAGTCGCACGCCGGTCGTTGAATGGAGCGGGTGTGGAGACGCGTACAGGGTGCCGGGCGTCGCGGTGCCGCGGCCCGTTGCGGCTGTCCCGTGCAGCCGTGCCAGTTGCACGTGGACCAACGCGCGAAACGCGGCGGCGGCGGCCGTAAGTCCCGTGGCAGTTCCGGCGGCGGGCCCCAAACCATCGTCTGCGGCTGTCAGGTGCAGCCATGCCCGGTGCACCCGGTGTTGATCAGGGTCCGTCGCACACGACCGGCCACCGCTGCTTCTGCCGCCGCCGTCGCTGCCGCGGCCACCATCAGCTGCGACTGTCCACCGGAGTCGCAGCCGTGTCCCCATGCACAGCGAGGGTCGGCGCTACGAAGGATCAGAAGGTAAATAAATGTATAACGTAGCGTCGAACTTATTCTACCCCTACCTATTCTACTCCCCCAAGTAAAGACCAGCTGGCCGTGTTGTCGCTTGAATAGATCGAAGGTTGAGGTAGGTTGATGAGATTGTTATCCTAATTATTATTATCGCGATATATGAAAGATATTATATCGCCTTATTCGGTCGATAGCACTTGTTGACTTAATGACCTTGCGGTGATAGATAATTAAAAAATTATTGCATAGATATTACGATGAGTAAGCATTGCATTAGTCAGCTATAAATTTTCCTAAAATACTGTCGTTGATGGTTCACTTCAGAATTTGGGGTTACTTCGATCGATACGAGTGGAAATAACGAGCAACAGTTACGTCTATATAGGATGCTCCAGTTTTATCAGATCTCATCTTCATCTATGAATTTTTTAATTTGTGCTATTTTAGTTCACGAAATTTTTATTAATGCCTATTTTCGGAATGACCATTTTGCTATTATCGCAATTTGATGGTGATAAGTGATGATCGATTATATAAAGCTCGACTGCGCGCTCTGAAAGATCGCGGTAAAAGGGGTGGAAGCTATGGTGGAGGTCAGGAACCAACGTGCTGTTGGCACTTGCGCTGATCGTAAGCGAGTTTTAGGCGAGCTAGTATAGTTAAGCCATAGAGTTACAAAGCTTCACTGTTGCCCGAAGTTGATGTAACTGTTCATTTCTAGAGTAAACGAGGCGATTATCTTGTCCGGATTAATATGAGAGAACTTTCACGGTGCTGAAACGTGAAATGCAACATTTGAAAGCATTTCCATGTTGGAGCAAATCTTGGTCTGTCTGAAAAACGAGAATACCAATTCGCGTCTTCTTCTATCTTCCTTAGAAGAACTGAAATATTGATTTATGAAGTGCCACGTGCTACGGCGAATTATAGAGAATATTGCACACTTATTTCTATTTCTTATGAATATCGTGAGTCGTTTATAGTTTCATTAAATTACAGAACAAACATTATCATTTATATGCATGGACATAAATTTATTACGGACTAAAATGTATCTCGTAATTATTTCGCATATCATATTTCACACAATGTTGACTTGTATAGAGACACAGGAATTAACGTTCGTGTTGCGTACATAAATTTCTTGATAAAAGAGTCTCATTAAGAAATGCAAGAAACTTGTAAATAATATCACCGAGAGACGAAGAAACTGTCAAAGTTATGAAATCAATTTATAATGAAGTTAATTTAATTCGTAATATAATTATCTGCTCTGAAATTCAATTGTAATGTGGCTGCACGCAAACCATGGTTTCTTATCTTCAGATTCTGACCTATGTCTTCTTTTGTTTATAAGACTTCAGCGGTATTTCTTTGTTTACAATATCATTGTGATAAATGAAGTTTCCAATAGCCGATAGGCATTCTTACGGCTCAAATTGTGGCGGTTAGATATCTTGGGCGAAATATTAGCGTTATGTGAAAATCGATTTTTTCCAGTAATATCTGGATATTTGCATTATTGTTTAAAGCATAAAGCTTAAATTTTAAAAAAATCAATATGATTCTTCGTCCATGATTTGTATGATTTAAAATAAAAAACTATACCTTTTAATTATATAATTTTTAAAAATTTTTTCTTTAAAAAATAGAAAATGAGATTTTTTTTTTTATTTTAATTACATTCGTCCAATTTGCAATATTGTCGCTCATATTTCCTTTTTTAGTCACTAACACGTTTCACATTGCAGATGCGAGTGCGCGGATCGTTCCTGTCGGCACACAGTCTGCGGCGCCGGCACCCGTCGCCGAACGACCGCGCAGCCCTCTTCCTCCCCTATCTCCTCCACGCAGTTGCAGCTGCAACAATCACAGCAGCAGCAGCCGTGCGAGTGCGCCGACGAGAGATCAAACTGCGCCCACACAGGCGGCGGCGAGGCGCCGTGCGAGTGCGAGTGTGGCGAGGAGGCGAAGCCGTGTCCGCACACAGTCAAAACGCGCCGTACGCGCCGCACATGCACGGACTGCAGCTGCAGCGGCACGCAGCCCTGCGGCCATAAGCCGCAGCCCGAGGGCCGCATCAAGCGGGTCAAGTGCCGCGTGAGGCGCGCCGGCTGCGCGATGGCTCGTTGCACCGCCGAGCTCGCGATGCTGCATTTGCACTGGGAGCTCGCCACCGAATGTGCGCCCTGCAGGCCGCGCGCGCTCACGCGACGGCTCTGCAGGAGGCAACAGAGCGACAATGAGCTCTATCGCAGCAACAGCTTCAAGTTCGAGCGCTTCGAGCGTATCAAGGACGAGTGCGTCACGCCGCTCCGCAAACAGGTGAG